ATTTTTTTTACCAGAATGTACAGTCCTGAAAATAGTCTAGTCCAAAAAACGACTTAAATGTATCAAAAACTATTTTACTTTGTATGAAATAACTAATAAGGATAAACCGTTATATTTATTTATTTACAGTGACAAGTCAACCAGTTAATTTCAAAAATACAATTATAGTTTCAACGAAAAATAATATTTTAAGAACTTGAACTATGTCTATACATTTGTACTTATATGTATAGTTAACTAAAAGTTAATTAACTCCTTAAACATCAGTGTCTTTTGATATTCAACTAACAGACAATCAAAAACAATGGAGATATCAGAAGGCTTATAAAGTCAATACCAAAACGATGACTGCCCTTCAAAAGAATTTTAAATTAAAAAAAAATAAAATACATCACAATTCTAACTGTACTATTGCTTCGATAAAAATCCAATGCAAATCGTAAAGAGTTTCATTACAAAGTTTTTACACTTTTGAATTTTAACTTGAATGATCATTTAACTATGAAGGAATATTTAAAACATTTTAACGAATAAATCATTTTGAATACGCATGTTTTCAATATTAAGATATACTTATTATTTCATACAAGATTGCTTAGTAAATAATAATATAAATTTATAAAATAAAACGAAAAACAAAAAACTCGATGAGTCTACGAATTGATAAAATGATTATTTCGAAACACGTGGATGCACGAAAAGCTCAATTTTAATAACATAATATCGACGTATGTATTAAGATGCAACCGACTCTTGTGTTTTGTTACGAAACAATTATTTTCGATTAACTATACTTCTCGTATTATTCATAAATCATAATCAGAGTTTTTTTATTTAAATTACAAAAACATAGGAAGTAGATCTTTACCAAAGGCCTACTCTCTAAGCACCCTACTCATCCGTGTCATGGTGTCTAAAATATTATATTTTTCAGTTATTTGTAAAACTCATAAGTTGATAAGATAATTAATAATCAATAATCCAATTATACTTTGACATAAAACAAAGCGACCATACCAATAAATAAATAATAACTAAATGAAGCTAGTGTATATAGATAGCAATCATGTCATACATATAGCATAAACAGTACATATTTTAAAATTAATTAACACAATTAATTCATCACAGCTCGATCAGGCATAGGAACTCATTTTGGCATGATCGAACTAATTTTTTGTTTTTCAAAATATCAAGAACTCTCTGCTATGTTACCATACATTATTTTATTATTTGGAACAGAAAAACATTTCAGATAAGTGGGTACCCACTTATTTCTGCAGCAAATGGTAGTTGATTCTCGGCTCCACCATTTTGCTATTCTACAAATCGAATATATTCATCTGATTTACCATGAAAATCTAAGCACCCAGGAGAGGAGGGGAAGTAACAGGGATGACAGAAATGCATTTCGTGTTAGTAAGTGCTTGAAATGGTTGGCACTTGTTCCGCTCTTCAACGCCTCTGTAAATCTATAATCTGCCTTCTCGGGAACTGGATTCGTGTTCACAAAATTATAGATGTGGCAACGTCGCAAAAAGAGTTTTATGCTCAATCGTAAATTACTGCAGTTATCGCGGATTACCTCCCCTGCGCTCCTTTCATAATGTCTTTGTAAGTCCAACCTTGATTTAAATACCATAATATTATAATATATAGTATATAGTTATAAATCAGACGAATTCCATAAATACTGAAATATCATAAAGCATCATCGTCATAGATTTTGAGTCTTACTCTTCGTTATGAAAAAAAGTTGATCCAAATGTTATTTGGACAAAGAAATCCAATTTCAATAGACATTTCCAATAAATTTTGTAACAAGGAAACTAATTTAAAAGTAGCTTATTCAACAAGGCGTTTTAAGGTTTATTGAGGGCCATTATGTTCATGGGGTTATTAGAGCAAAAACAAGTGCTTAAAATTAAGCTTTATACCAAAAAATTCTTTTCATTTCCATCATTTTTTTTGCTTTAATATTTTACTGAAATAAAAAATAATGTGACTTACAATAACGTAATATTACTTATCCACTGACCCTTAAAAATAATAAGTAGGGTACTTCGTCAGAAAAAATAACATTTTTCGAATTCCTCATACTTACTAACCGTAAATTAAATAACGAGATATATTTTTCCCGTTATTATTACAATTAAACGATTCACAGTGGCATTACAATAGTTTTATAAAAAAAGATCACTTACAATTACATAGTGATTACCGCTTTTGTAAACTTCAGACACATTCAGTAATTATTAAACACCATAGTTAAAATCTTCAACGTCCTATTATACTCAACTACTATTTAAAACTGAATAATCATTTCACGATGGTACGACATATTATTTTTCACTTTAATTATATCTAACTTTTTTTTTAATGTAAATATTCATATGCAAGTTTTTTCTTTTGATGTTTGTTTTAAACTTGTTCGTTAATACTATATGATCAAGACATACATTTGTAAAATAAGAAATCGTAAGCAAAATAGTTAACTGGGTGTAACAGTAAAGTACCTACACAGTACTTCTGAGCTTGTCTAAATATTAGTATGTTACTTAAACATACACATTACTATTACCTACCTATAGGCCGTAGTGCTAAGTTTTGTAACTAATTGTGACGTGCAACTTTTCTTAAAATGTTTTTCTTTAATCACACAACCCTACAAATCCACCTCCAAGGTAACCTTTAGAGTGAAAAAATTAAAAATATTTATTATACTCTATTTTTGATGAATTTAATTTTAGTAAAAGTACCTATACATAATTTAAAACAATATTATAACTCAAGAAAATTTAAATTTTAAACTATTATTCAACTATATTTAACAGACTTGAATATATTATATTCAACCAGTTTTAAAATATTTGTGCTTAGATGATAGAATAAAAATTTAGTTTTTAGTTTTTTTCCAGCTAACATTTTTAGTCAAAATGTATAACATTTTTAGTTTTTATTTCTCTTATCTAAAGTTGTAATAACAAACGTGATATTCAGAATTTCCTTTACTAAATAAAATTAATATAGGTACCTATCCAAAATTTTTGGTAAATATTTTATTTTACAAATATTTAATAAGATTCTCTTCGTAAAGAATGGAAGTCAACGAGCAAATATGTTCATGAATAACAATGATGATTTTATTAGATAATAAATTAATGTTGTTGAATTGCTGTTGTATGGTAGTAAATTGTTTGAAATTGTTTTCGAAAACTACTGGGAAGTTTAAAAAATGACCTTTTTAATAGACCATCTGTGACCAATTTCTAATCGATAAACATTGTATGAAACAATTGAACGATTCAATTTGCCCAACATTATGTGTTTACAAAAAAAAAAAAAAATTAATAGATAAACAAAAACGTACAGTATTGTCAGGCTAATAGATTCTTTGTTATCTGCTGAATCAACTGAATCCGAAAAATGAAGAAAATTAGAAAAAGTCAATAAACGAAAATACGCTTCCACTTCGCGTAGTTTCTTTGACAATCGGTTCTTCGATTTCATACTACGTATTATTGCTTTATTCATATACAGTATGATCATAATAAATAGTATGATATTATATAATAGAAAGGTCATCTGTAATTGAAATCTCATAAAATGACAATATAATATTATGTTTTCTGATTTATTTTAACATGTATATATTTTCAGCTAATACAAATATTTTATTTATTTGTGTTTTAAATGTTCGAATGAATACAATATATTTTCTATTGGCTATTGTGGTTCAAAAAATAAAATTTTTCTCAAGAAATAGGATTATATTTTAAAGTTATTAATATATTTTCGATTTCAGCTCTAATAATGAGTGAAATTGTTTCTTTCGTACACGATAGCGGTGTTTTTAAAATTATTTATGAGTTAATATAAAATTATATAGGTAGTTATACCTATAAAGTAAGTCACTTATTACATAAAGGTCTACCGATATAATATTAAGCTACGTATATAAAAATGAATGTCTCTTTGTTTCTCCTCTATATTTCCAAAATCTACTGGACCGTTTTCAAATAAAATTTATATCAATAGATTACTCGTGACTTGGGGGGAGAGAGTTTTTTATAGCTTATTTTTATTGGATTGCTCACTATGAATTTAATTTTAGCTCAAGAAAATCGAACATTTTTTTGCTTAGCAGATGGTTACTATTGATTACTGCCTACGGGAGATATTACTATTTATAATTAATATATTTATTATTTAATAACAAATATTATTATTTTTTTAACGAATCTTAAACAAAATTAAATGTTTTTTATGAACACAATGATGATTTTTGCAATGATTATACTACTATGATTTGTTTTCATATACCAATCTTAACGATATTAGATTTACATTAGCTTTTAAGCATTCATTGAATCTGTCTCCAGTTTTTTGTATTTACATCAGAAATATGTCCAGAATTATTAAGGAGTGGAAAATCATAAAATCAATCATCATACTTCTTGTATTATTTATTTGAACTGAAACAAAATGGAAAACGATAGAAAGACAGATTAATTTTAACCCGGGCAATTTCTGGATAACACAGCTTGTATATTATATATTACTGTTAAGCCCAGTACTAGCGTTTAATTGAGACAACCGTAAACCATTAGCATGACATATAAATATTTGTTCTGATACACAGATCGTATTATCTACTTAAGCTCTACAAAGTATCTCCAGATCAAAAATGGCTGATGCTATATCCAAATAGATTTTAAAAGAATTGTCACCAAAATGTTATACTTTATTCGACTCAACTACTACGTTTAGTATTTACTATGTATATATAGACAATATAGTATAATATGGTGTTATTAGTATTTATTATTACTGTATGATGTGAACTAGAAAACGAATTAAACTTGTTTTTAATCAATATAAAACAATAATAGGTGGGGTAGTATAACTCCAAAATTAGATTGTGGTTTAAGAGTATTGATTAAATTGTTTTTAAATAAAACAAGTGCATAACTGCAATACCGTGTTTATTATTATTACAGTGCGTTTGCCGTCTGGTGCAGAATACAGATGAGAATGATGGATGCATCTGATTGCGCTGCCCACAATAATTTAAATATACCTATTTATAATAATTTCGTTGTGTATTTATTTTTCAGAACGTAGAACATAACATCAATTTAATATTTTCTAGAGTACAACCCAATAGTTCAAAAATGAATAAATAGTAGTTCAGACTTTAATTTTTATTGTTAATGTAAATCATTTGGATGAATTAAACAGATTGTCACTGGAATATATTTTGTGCTTGGCCAACATTTTTTTTTTCTTGTTTATACCGTCTTATTTTTTAATGGACATTTCAGAAGATATTGGGATCGAAAAACTGCTTCTTTCTTGTTAGCTTAATAAGCTGGTTATCCAATATGTTGGGCCATATTAAAACTTAGAAATATATTTTTATTTTTTAATCTAATAGAAATATATACGTTATCTGATCATGTTATAAAAATTAATTCTGAGTAAAGCTCTTACCTATATAATATTTTCTAATGTGGAACCATATTTTTCTTTTGCAATTTCGGCAAAATCGTCGATGTACAGTTGTATCGACATATTTTCTACATGTAGACGATTTGCAATTTTGACGTTAACAATAATACTCCTATAACTATACCCATCTAGTATTACAATTTACAATAAATAAAATAAATTCCATTTTCAATTATCTATTGCATGCATAAAGACAATGGTAATATAATATTCCTGCTGTATTTAAAATAAATAACAAATTTAAGTTTAGATATTATTGAATAACATGTGATTAATTCTTTGAATAATTTGAACCAATTACCAAACAAATTCAAACGATAAATGTGATAAATTCTATTTCATTTTTCAGACTTTAAAAATCGAAACATTTACATACTTATATTGTCTGAATCCGTTTAACTTCTATGGAAAAGTGAAAATTCCATATAGATTAATGACTTTCCTGTATCTTCTCTCTTATAACACCCACAAAGGCCCCCCTAAATACAAGCATTATTGCGCTAAAAAGACTTGACAAGAGATTTATGTGCCATTTAATCAGTTTCGCGGAACGGCTCATCAATCGAAAACTTTTGTATTGTTTTACTTAGCGACTTGAAAAATATATCGAAAATCGTCAATAGGTCGTGCCCTCGCATTTTGATCAATTGCAGGAAAACGTATAATTAATGTTCGCACGGAATTTTGAACTCTTTATTATGCGATCCACTGAGATAATGCTATTACTATTTCATACAAATTATCGTAGTATACCTACCGAGTCACTGCAGTAGACTGTAACAAATTGCGTATAATATTCTACAAACAAACGGCATTCACGGCTTGATAATTCGTCCCATTCATAGTTTTTGTGCGCCCATAATTATTTTATGTCGTCTAACACAATATTATGTAATACCTACCTGCGACGTAAACCTAAATCATTTATCTTAATTAATTGTACAATCCGGAAGCCCTGTGAGTATTTGATTTATTTGACAATGATAATATAGTGATAACAAAGGCAGACAATTCTTGACGTAACAATGTTAACATTCTAGTAGTCGTGTGTTGTGAACTTTACTACTGATGTTCTATTATAAGTTAGTTGTGATAATTGTTAATGGTAAATATATTAAATATCAATACTTAACAGTAACGCTTGGACCTTAATTTAGTAATATATGCAAGCAGTAATAAAATGAACAAAATCAATGCCTACACAAAAATTATTTTTAACTACGCCCGCGCCCTTAAAGCCAGTTCCTCTAAATAAAAAGTACCTTAACAAGGTCATTTAGTGAAATATTTCACTTTAATAATTAATTTTTATTATGACGTGTACGCTTCGCACCTATCCATTCATCGAGGTGACAGTTGCAATACAAAAATACCCCTTTCAAAGTCCAACACATTTTGACGTTAATATGCGACTAACCTTCCGAGAATTATCATGCAAATATAACAGTCGTTAACCTATCGGAAACGGGTTGGTACCTGTACAATTCGTACAAAAATTCACATCTCTTCGAAAATGTGAATCGTTCTCGATTCGTAAATTATATTATTATAAATAAATATGATTCAATGGAATTCAATCTGCGTTCACAACCCCGAATTACGTGCAGGTGTGGTGGGCAAATCAAAAACACACACAATAAACCGCACATACACATTGGGGTAAGGCGCAGGGGCGTAATTAAGGGGGGGGGATGAGGGGGATATATCCCCCCCCAGAGCCTATATAATGTGTATATTTATATATTAATTTGAAGCTTGTGGAATTATATGTCTTATCCGTTTATCGTGCTGACATCACGGCGAAATATATTTAATATTATAATTAATATCAAGAAATCTATAAATAGGTATGCGCATGGAAAATACTGATAATTAGAAAAAACGACTGGCGACTGCAGCTAATCTATTATAGAACTATTGTAGAAGTCTGTGCAGCTAATACGCCGAAACAGTTATCATTTAATATTTTATGTAGTTATTTTTGTTGGGGTGGAACGTGGAACGTTGACGTTGTGTCAGTTGTTGTAATATAAAATATCATTTGTATTTTGTACATTTGTACACGTACATAGTGTATTAGTGCTCGACAGTTTTTAGGTATTTATAAGATAATATTATTACTCTTTCTATAACAACTGTAAATTCTAACTCGTAACACTATGGAAAATAAAAGAAAAAATACAATTCTATCTTTTTTAAAAAAAAAAACAAAACCTAACGAAGAAAAAAATACAGATAATACTGAGGTAAGAATGATACAATTCGATATATTAAATACTTAGGACATAAATACTTAGGTATATTATGTAAATATGTAATGAATTACCTAACTATTTAAATGTCTTAATAGGTATAGAGTATAGACTATAGGTACCTAATGTATATAAATTTTATAGGAAATTAAGAANAATCTATTAAAATCAGAGGGTCGTAATAAATATATAACTCCACAAATTCAAAATGAGATAATTTCAGCATGTGGCAATTTAATCTTACAAACAATTGTAAAAAAAGTTAACAATTCTCAGTGTTTCACTGTCTTAGCAGATGAAACTACTGACATATCTGTTACTGAACAACTTGCTCTTTGTGTAAGATTTGTTGATGAACAAAACAATGTAAATGAGTGCTTTCTTAAATTTATGGAAATACATAGTTTGACAGGAAAAAACTTGGCTGATTCGATTTTAAATGGTAAATTTTACTTAAGATTAAATCTATTTATGTTTGTTGATTAATATTGAGTTTATTATTTGTTTATGTTTTTATAGGTCTAATGAGTTGTGGAATTGATTGTGAATTTTTATATGGGCAGGGATATGATGGGGCAAGTAATATGTCGGGCCAATTTCAAGGTGTGCAAGCTCATATTAGAGTCAAATACCCTAAAGCTATTTACGTGCATTGCGCAGCTCATTCGCTAAATTTAGCCGTATCTACTGCAAGCAATATAAAACCAATAAGAAATTGTTTAGGTATTATTGAAAAATTATACAACTTTTTCAATACTCCTAAACGAAATCATGTGTTATTATCTACTATCGAAAATAGTGACGTTGATCAAAAAATAAAAACATTAAAAAGGCTATGCGCAACTCGATGGGTGCAAAGATACGATGCTGTTCATGATTTTATTGAACTTTTTAAGTTTGTAGTAGATGCTTTAGAATGTATATCAGATTGGAAGGATTCGTCTGCTATAGATGCATCATTACTTCTAAAATCAATGGACTCTGAATTCCTAATTTCAATTAATATTGTTCAGGTAAAAACAATATTTTTAATTTAAAGCAAGTATCTTAAGTCTATTGAAAATACCCTATGTATTTTTCAGCTAATGTTTTCATTTGGTCTACCGTTATGTAAACAATTACAAAAAACCAAAATTGACCTAAAAGAAGCCATTGATCTGGCGCAAGATACTATCAATGAGCTTAAAAAAATTAGAGACAATTGTGAATATGAATTTGAAAATATATTTTCAAAAGCAAAGGTAAAACATAGAAAGTTTGTTGTTTATAATGTCTAACTAATAATATTTATTATTTACAGGAAATGGCTGATGAAGTAGATATTGTATTAAAAATTAAAAGAATATCAAAAACACAAACTAACCGAGCTAATCCAAATGATAATACTTCCAATCCAATTTCAAATGTTCAAGATTACTATAGAATAACTGTCTTTATCCCATATATTGATTATTTCACAAGTCAATTGACAGAAAGGTTTTTGTCACATTCTAAAGTGTTCAATGGTACGGTATTATAATTTATAATAACATATTATCTAATAAGTACATTTGGATATATTTACACTTTTTTTTTGTTTAATTTTGTTCTGATAGGTTTTGAATGTTTGTTTTCAAATAATGTTGATCTAACCGAAAATGACAAAGCATATTTTAAAGAGTTAGTGGAATTCTATTCACCACAAATCGATAAAAATAATGCAATAGCTGAATTGAGGCTTTGGCGGGCTAAGCTCCAAAGAAGTGGGATTATTCCTAAAACAGGAATTGATGCTCTTAGTGAATGCAATTCAGAAATATATCCAAATATTAATCTATTATTAAAAATATTATGCACATTACCAGTTTCTACTACAACTCCCGAACGTATGTTTTCAGCTCTCAAACGAGTTAAAACATATCTCCGTAACACAATGTCTGAAGTAAGTTCATGTTCATCATTATGATTAATTATTATTGAAGTATCTAGTTTTATTTTATTTAAAAATTATTAATTTTAGGATCGATTAAATGGTTTAACAATGATGGCTGTACATAAATCAATTGCAATTAATCCTGATGATGTAATTGACGAGTTGGCTAAACAGCCAAGAAAATTAGAATTTATTTTATAAACGTACAGAATTATTATGTTAATATGTTATTATATACATTATAATTATTAAAAACAAAATAAATTTAATATTTTAAAAATTATTATTTAATTTAAAAGTAAATTTTAATTCTAATATATTCAAAATTTACATTTTGAAGAAATTATTATAATATTGTAATGGTATTAAATTGTGTAGAATTTTAAAGCACATTTATTAATAGGTACATTTTGTGTACATATATATTAGTTTAAGAATTTTTGATGAAA